CTGGCACAATACAGAGGCCCAGGTCTCGTTAAAACCATGTCTCCGGAAGATTTGTGTTAAGATTAGTTATTGTTCAACACTCCGCCACTGTTGAGCCTGGTGATTTCTATTGAAAATGAAACTGGGTGGTAATTACTGCTGTATTCTATATGTGTGCTTATCTAGCTTTAGTAGAAATGAGATGTAAATGTTTCAAGGCGGAAGAAGGTTATTTGGGCCAAATTGATATTGAGATGCTATTAAAGTTAAAAACAATCTTAATGAGAAATAATTGATTTTGTAGCAAGTTTTAGTGCAGATTCCTGTCTACCCAAAGAAATCCCTTGTTTAAAGCATGTCCAACAAATACACAGATATGACCTAGTCCCTTTGTCCTGTTGTGAAATTGTTATGAATATGAATACTCCTGCATTTTTAATTCAAATTCTTGAAATATTGAAGTTTGATCAATGAAGACAATGGAATTTTTATAACTTGCCATGGGCTGTTACATTTGGACACACTGGCTGTCAGTGTGATAACTTGTGACTAGAAGAAAAGACAATGCAAATTGTTGCTGAAACCTCTAACTTATCTAAAAAATCAGCTGAACTTTTTTAACAGTTTGTCAATGATCTGACTGAAATTGTCTCATCAGAATAAAATACCTTATTTGTTTATTTATTGTTTGCTATTTGAGTTTCACTTTATATCTTTACAACTATTTTTTAGCAAATACAATTTATTTTAAGATTTTGACCTTAAAATCTGACTGATATGCTGTCAGAAGTGAATTACAGTTGATATAGTCAATGACACAATTGAATGAGTGCAAACATGGCCCAAAAATACTTAAAACAGTAAATTATCGTTAACTGGTCTGATGAGGTAAAATATTAAATACCTTCAAGTGCTTTTCTTTTATCCATGCCATAAGAATTCATAACTTTTTCCATATTTCCTCTTTCTAGGAATGCCATGAGAAATTAAAAACTCCCTATAAGCTTTGATTGACTATTTACTTTCATTTTATGTGTGAAAATCTGACCTTTTTGTTGACTCCAAAGAATTGAAGAAATATTGTCCCAACACTGATCAGATGCCCTATTGATATTGCTAACAACCATTTAAAATATGCCCAACATTTTTGTGTAAAGTTAAGGGTTGTGTTGGTTATCCTCTCACCAATATTGTCTGAATCCATCTCCATAGAACATGACATGGTTTAGGGTGTGTGATCGAAACTGCCAAAGTTATTTGGGAAAACTTAATGATTACTCGCTGATTTATTCATGAAAAAAATTATTTGTTAAAATGAAAGTAGACATAAAAATTTGTGGACTACGTGACTGGAAAGAAATCCTCCCGTCGCAGACTAAACAAAATATTCCTTCATTGATTATCGACAGAGGCAGGATGGAACTATCCCGAGATGATAAACATATTTTATGACCTGACGTGCCTAATTTTGTATTCTTCCAGCAACATTAAACTTTTGATTTGCTCAGTGTACAAAGATCTGGGAACATTTCCTATGGTAGAGCTAATCTTGAATAATTCTTGGACATTGCATGCCATGGGCTCATTGATTGCAGCACATGTGAGCTCATTCATCAAATTTGTCGTATAGATTTGATGGCAAATGATCCCAAACCATGTCGTTCCAGGCTAACATAGCCAAATGCCAGTGTTTTACCTCAAAATGGCCCAAATCTTGTGTATTTATGAATTTTTTTCATGTTAGGAAACTAGATGAAAAATGCTTATCAGAATGGGAGTATGTTTAAACAAGATTTAAGCACCAAGCTAAAAATCAACATGAAAAGCTTCTTACTTCTAACATTGATTCACTGAGAGCCAAAGTAAATTGTTCAATTCCCTTGACACCATTGGATGCTTTTCTCTCTTTACTAGTTGTATTCCGAATCTTACATTTTGAGTGAGTTGTAAAGTAAGACAAATGCCAAGTTATATGCAACATTGGACTCTGAAACTCTTTGAATTAGGGTGCATACGTCGTCTGTGTATTTTGAATATGTAAAATAACTTTTATCCTATTCTACAGTGATTGGCAAATCATTGAATTGTTATTAAAGTTTGGCTAAAAGCTTCATTCTGTTTTAAAAATATGTTTTCAGATACACCTGTTGTCTAAATCCCTTTGATTGCACAATGTATAATATAAAATCAATACAGCTTTTTGAACCACAATTGTTTCTGTGTATGCTTCTGATGTTGGTTTGTTTAGCTGTCTCAAGATTGAGTAATTGTAATCAAAATTGCACAGTAGAGTAATTCCCCAATGTTAAATGATATGTGACAATCATGGCTTGGCTCTTAGAGTCATACAATTGCTCCCCTTTAAATGAAATAATGAGTCCACAGTTTCCATGTCTGAGATTGTTGTCTTTCAAATTTTTATCAAATTTCTAATGACCTTTAGGAGTTCCGACCTGGAAAGTTGCGGTATTGAACAAGGCTACCTATAGTGTAGGGAAAACATGTCAGGTGTTCAGAACTTGAAAACTTCCTGCAGTCCAGGCAGTAGGTATGAGTGCAAATGTTTGGTGACATTAGCACCAATGCTGTGTGACAGACTGCCACTATAGCATTGTCAATGTCGCAGACATCAGGATTCCCTCTCCCTCTCGCTGTTTCTAGCAGTCAGTGCTAATACCCTAGAAGCATATGGTCGTCGCTCTTCATCAAATATGGATGGTATTAGGCATAATGGCGACTGCTCTCAAATCTCAGCTCTTCATATTAGATGTTCGCGGAAGATTGTATGGTCCCTCGGGAAAACAAGGCACTGGGTCCTGGACATGCAGCGTCCATTTGTAATGACTGGTGCACCTTCAGTTGTCGTGGGGATCGCGCTATTGACAATGTTGCCCTAGCCAGATGACGGCCAGCTACAGACCAGGTTTCCAATATGATTTTTCGCCATGTAAATGAAATCACATTTTCTGGTGCTGCTTCTACAAGTGTGAATGCGGCAAGTTTTTGTGGAAGGATTGTGGATTTGTACTGTGGGAATTTCAATGTTCCTATGACACAAAATTCCCAAGTCACATTAACCTGTCATTGGACTTTCAATTTGTACCAGATAAAGGAAATAAATGCTTTTTATGGAATGGTTCAGTAATAAGACTTTGTATCTACATAAGATTATATTAATTCCTAGAGACGTCTAAATCAGAACAAACAGTACATGAATTAGTAAAAAGATAATCAAGCGGTAAATGTTTCTCTCTTTTGCCATATAGCATATAGAACACAGGCTGGAGACTTGGAAGTTAGTTTTTCTGCCTGGCCAGAGAAAAGTTAATATGTTACAGCTCAGGAGAGTAAATGAGAAAATGGTGTGGTTGATAGAACTGCCATGGTGCATTTCAGATTGTGTGAGGCTCCCCATAACGTTAACATTAGGGGAATAGGCACTTTCAGCATGAGGATTGTCTATTTCAGGGTCAACTATCATAATGAGACATGCACCAGACCATGGCAATACTTTCACAAAAAACATGGTTCTTGTCTTCTGAGGTGAAATTACTCCTGAAATGCAACAAGATATACAGGAATTGCCTTTTATAACCTTGCTGGTTTAGAGATGAAGTGATGGACATTTGATGTACCAGAGTGTATTGAAATTACTCCTTTCACAGACACAGATATGGCTATCAATTTACTGAAAATTTATATGTATTGCTCATGAAGACAATGTTTTGTTCTCCTGCATGAACAATAAAACATGATGAACGTTTATTGATGTCTCGATGGTATGACTTCTCACATAAAATGGACACATTTTATGTTTCTTGAGCTTTGGTTTCTTCACAATCTTTACTTATGTGTGTAGGTGTGTGGACTTCCCTGGTATTTCCCTGGGATGAGCTAAGCAATCAGAACTCATGTAGTGTTTGAAATTGGCTTCAAGAAATGAGACCCGTTTACCCTGCTATCTTCTGTTGGCAATAATCAGCTTATGCTCTAAGGTTGTTAATGTCCAGTATGTCTAAATGAACGGGGGGCACAGGTGGCCCCAAGTTCTTCTAAGGCGACGTGATTCGCTCTGCAGAGTTGCATCCGTTGGGCTCGCCAGAAACCTATGATTGTGGGTTCGAATCCCGGTTGGCCCCAATTATGTTTCTAGGTTTGTCAGGATCATACCCATGCTCATGGGTTTCACCGAAGTGGTAAACGTCTGAAACCTGCATCACTCCGGGCTTTCCTCCCACATTAAGCTGACACGCCGCGATATAACTGGAATACTGCTAAAAGTGGCGTTAAGCCCAACTCACTCTAAATGAGCTGCAGGAGGAAGGTTGGCGCTCTGTTCTAACGTGTTACTTGTACACAATTATAGATAACACTTTATCTAAAACAGTGATTTCAGAATGTTCTAGGAAAATAAGAAATAAAGCCTTTGATAGGCATTTAGAAGTTGGAAGAACATGAATACATGGCACTTTTATGTGGATAGCATCACAGCAGCTTCTTGATAAAAAAAATTAGTGTAAAATTGATATTTAATTTAGATATCAAATTTTGCTTGTTTGTGTTTGCCTGTTTATTAAAAAGGCTACATGCTTTGTTGTCATGAAAGGTAATTGGCCCTCACTCATTACTATGCAAGTAGAATATGCTGATGCAAAAAGCAATGTCGTCTTGCAAACAGCACCATTAGTTTGATATGTATGACATAGGTTTGATTCCCCACATGGGTACAATGTGTGAAGACCCTTTCTGGTGTCTGGTGATATTGCTCAAATATTGCTGGAATATTGCTAAAAGCAGCATAAAACCATACTCACTCATTCCTTTGATTTGACACCTGTAGATTTGACAATAAACTGATGTTTACTGTAGTTTGTGTAATGTCAATAGTTTGAGTCTAACACTAACATGCTGTATAAATACTGTATTTGAAGGTACTGTATCTGACAACAGTACTGTGACTGCCAGGGATGGGTGTGGTGTAGTACTACAACAATGTCTAAATGAGAGTTTTTGCCTTGCAGACAGCGATGAGGTGAGAACGCAGCTGACCAAGCTGACTGGCTTTGATTTGAAGAATGCAGGGATCGGAAAGGAGGTAAGTTGTAGTTTGTGAATATTTACAGTGGAAGACACTAGTATTTCCATGGTGGTCAGTGGATAGTCATCCTTGATTAGCCAGGATTATTGAGATGATGGATGGTCTAACTTGGTCTTGGGAGGAACCTTTGAAGATTATATCTCGGTAATTTGTTTTCGGTTTCCTTGATCTTGGAAACGTAGTGTTGACTTTCATTTCTGGGAGTCATGGCTTAAACAATATTGTACATGATATAGTTCCTCATGGTCTAATTTTGTCATGCAAGGAACCTGTCATTTGTGATGGTCTAACTTGTCCTTGGAAGTAAATATTGAATGATAATTATCCTTTGTCATTTCTTGGAGACATGGCTTAAAATACTTTAAAAACTTTCTGTTTGATTAAATACTGTGACAAATGATCTTATAAGAAGATATTTGCCTGAACATGTTTATCAAAGTAACAAAACACTTTGGACAGCTCATTTCAATATGACCTTTTCCTGTGAGGGATGGTGGCTGTACCGTTGACCTTTAGAGGCATGGAACCATAGTCTTAGGCAGATATGGAACTAAGTAAATACCTTTTGTTGGCTTTGCTTATTATGGATTAACTAAAAAATAACAAACAATATTTGTGACCAATCATGAGATAAGGGACCTCATTGGTGAGAAATCACATTTTGACTTTTCATTAATATTTTAAAAACTACAGCATCTTTGGAACACAAAAATACAATTCATAGCACAATTGTATCCTAGCACCCATAAGCTCCCTTTTCTCCTGGTGGGGCACATTTATTGAAGTGGCAGAAAATATGTTTTGGCATATGAATATTAAGTCACTTAATCCACATTGCATTCCTGGAGATAACTGTTTTTTATTCCTAAAGCAGTTATGAGTTTCGTCATATTCATTCAACACTTCATTCAACACTTCTTTCAAGATTTTTACACTATTTTGCCACATAGCATGAGAGAAGGTATAGTCAAATACCCAATCTGTTGTGTGAAAAAGGTGGGACCTACAAGTGACTTGGATCCACCCTCTTTTGTATGGCACACGTGCAGTACAAGACCAGAAGCAGAACATTTTCACTAGTCATTGCTTCAGTTTGCCTGGGAAATGTTCCACATATTTGTTTGTGCTTTAAAAAGAAAAAAATTCTTGCTGACACAGCATTGAATATAATACTTTAAAACCAGTCTTCAGTTTTTCCAACAATGTGACCTTTAACCTACAATGGTATAGAATCATCATATCGCCTACATGGTTTAATCTGAAGATGTATTGCATATTCCTTGATTGTTGGTCAAGCAAGATTGTGAAAGAGCAGTTTATCAAAAAACTTTTCCTTTCAGATATTACTGCCATTGCTATGTTGAAAGGAAAATCAGAATGAAATATATTCTACAAGCAAGAGATTTTGTAATCTTAAAGAAGCAAACAAACATCTAGGCACTAAAACGACAAACCTGTTAGTGCCGTAAGCAAGTCCACCAGATTAGTTCAACACATGTGCTGTCGGTAGTTTCTAAAGTAAATCGTTTTAGGATTGTGAAATATTCATAAGATTTACTCTCTGGCTTAAACCAAGGTGGCTGCGCTGTTAATGACCTCAATAACTAGGCACAAGGGCAGGCTTGTCCGTGCTCATTAATTATTAAGGCCACACTGCCGTTTGCGGTTGCTTTAATACCAGACTTACGGCTAACGAGTCCCTTGCTCACGGTGCGGGAGTTACCCACTTTTACATTTTCTGCATTTAGAATTTGTAGCAATTAAGACTTCAATAATGTAAACTTTAATACTGTTCGATTATGTAGGAATTGAGCTTAAAAAATGGTATGCTGTTCTTCAGGCAACTGAGGTGGATGATGTATTACATAAGCTTATATGAAATGATATTAAATAAATGGGAATAGCGCATTAAATATAAGAATATTGGTAAGACTTGTTTGGTGAATTTTTTGCTGGTAAACATAGCTTGTCCATTCGTCTAATATCAAGTTTCCTAATGGCATAGCCTGCAATTTTGAACATGGCTTGGGTACATGATAACCCTGTTTGACCAAAGCCCTGGTGGGAGTATTGAATCTTTGTCAGGGATATTGACTAGACAGGCCTGTCATGGCGTTTGTCATAAAGCGTAATCTACATCATACGACATGTATATAACACCTTGCTGAGTGAGCGTCAGCTGAATCAGGCTTGGCGACATATTGATTAGTGTGTTCGTAATCGCGCTGGACTATTTTATATTTATTGCACCATAGTGCTGCTTATCAAGGCATCATGCTACCACCTGCAAGAAAAGATAACTAGCTTGAGGTTTAACATGGTGTTATCGACCTGTGTGCTATTATCACTCATATGCAAGCGCCAACCTTAAGCCATGGCATGTGCATAGGTTCTGGCCAAGACAGTGCCATTCTGATCGCCATGGCGACCTGCTAACGACAGGAACTGTGAAAGAAAAATGACCATGTTTTGTCCTCTGTCCATGGTTACCATAGTTACAATCTGTGTCTCACAAAGCCCTGATAACTCATATTCTTGAAACAGAATGCTTTACTGTCATATGGGTTATAAATGTTATTATTCTACATAATTTGTTTGTGGAGACAGGTTTGGTATCCTGTTCTTCCTTTAGACCAAGGGGAGAAAGAATATAGAATATGTATTTTTGGATTATTTGATGAAACAATGTAATAATAAAGGGGTAAAGCCAGGATACGATGCTGTAGCAGATCATCGAGTCCCATATGTGATCAATATCTTTCCTTCATGGCTTTGTCAAATTTCGAAAATTGTCAAGATCATGATAATTTAATTTAATTTTGAACAAGAATGTCTGTGTAGAAAGATGAACCATAACAACTGAAGCAGAATGGAAAATTGCCTACCAAGGTTGTGTTGTGTCCTCCAGTGATGGTTTCAAAAATACATTGTCTAGTATCCCACATGTTGAACATCAGATTAGTAAATAAGTGTTAATGATTGAGGAAAACAGAGAACATTGTCTACACTCACAACACAGAGTACAAGAATGTGCTTTTGAGCCAGGAACATTTAGAGAATTGCAGTTTGTTTCTATTTAAGATTATCTATATGCTTTAGTGAGTTGTCAAGGAGATTTTAGTGAGTTGAAATGCTCATGAGGCCAATAAGAGTTTGAGCAATCCTACTTTTTAAAGTAATTTTAGCATTTACTTAATGGGGTATGGTCTTTGAAAGTCGTCAGAGTGTCATGTTCTTCGAGATCTTTCTAATTTGGAATTGCATCTTGTGGACGTCGAGAGCTTTAAGTGAATACGTTCAAAAGGCGATCCTGTCATTCCAAACTGACAGTTACATGGGAGTTGACGAGACATGAACAGGAGATACCTTTCAAAATGGCCGCCTAATGGCCTTCGTCTCAGCTGTCTCACTCAAAGAAAATTTCTATCAAGCCTGAATTAGCCACATGCAGTTTAACTGTACGCTCTTGGCCTAGTTACACATTTGTAAAGACAGTCTTAAAATTTGCAAAACCTGTGGGCTGAAAAAAGTTTTGGGAGGAATAAGAAAATGTTGCATGCATGGTTTTGTTTGTGGTGGTCCTGACTTTCTATGTGCAGAATAATCCCAGTGTGATGTCAGGTTTTTGATGTCGACATCACTGGGTGGAAAGCTGTCAGTCAGCATTAAACTATAAGCCTTATTAGCTTTTCCATGCCTTCCACTCCATGTTTGTTAACAGGGAAAAAATGGCCTTAGATCTTGGCTTGTAAAAGATAGAAGTATGGACAATTACCTGTGCCTAAGCCTCGGTCTCTTAGATACATTAAAATGTCTTCGGGCTGCAATCGGGAAAATTATACTTTTCATGGAATGGCAAATTGAAACAGGGTTTCATTACTTTGTGGGAAGAGTCTTCAGGAAAAGGTATCAGTCTTGAAAGAGTTTTCTCCCTTGACTGATATTGATTTCTGTCTATATATATATAGCTGACATCATGCTGAAGACTTTTCAATTTCAACTCGTCTCCGATTCAGATAGTTTCAGGATGCTTCGGCTGGAGGCAATTTGCATTTAACTAAATTTAAATCGGTAATTCCATATATGCATTTAAGCTCTCTTTTTATGATTCAATTATCTTAGAATATGCAGTGAATGAAAAAGTATTTCATGTGTATATATGGGTATATCATATTGGGTGGTAGTGCAAGATCCGTGGATGGGAACACCTCTGGGAGGCTGTAAACATTTCTCTTGGAGTTCGTGCAGTTTGTGCAGTTTTTCTCTGAAGGAATATTTTTGTAACCTTTTTCTTGAAATATGTTTCATAACTGGTGCTTGGCCTTATAGACAGATTTGTGCAGTGTGTCTGTTTTTGGAATTTGATGTTTTTATGAATTATCGCAACCAAAATAGCCCAATATGGCTGATACTTGTGATTAGTGAGTGATTGAATTCAGTTTATTGTCGCTAGTGTTTCGGTATTTCAGTTATATCACTGACACTTGGGACTGGTATTGGTGACTGACACTTGGGACTAGTATTAGTGACTTATACTTGGGACAAGTATTAGTGACTGATACTTGGGACTGGTATTGGTGACTGATACTTGGGACTGGTATTAGTGACTGATACTTGGGACTGGTATTAGTGACTGATACTTGGGACTGGTATTGGTGACTGTCACTTGGAACTTGTATTAGTGACTGATACTTGGGACTGGTATTGGTGACTGATACTTGGGACTGGTATTGGTGACTGACACTTGGGACTAGTATTGGTGACTGATACTTGGGACTGGTATTGGGGACTGATACTTGGGACTGGTATTGGTGACTGACACTTGGGACTGGTATTGGTGACTGACACTTGGGACTGGTATTGGTGACTGACACTTGGGACTGGTATTGGTGACTGACACTTGGGACTGATATTGGTGACTGATACTTGGGACTGGTATTGGTGACTGATACTTGGGACTGGTATTGGTGACTGATACTTGGGACAGGTATTGGTGA